TGTTGCTCCACTTCCCACGATTGCAGGACAGCCCCGTCCCCAAAGAGTTATTGAACCCAAAATGTCAGTAGTGCCCGGGGTTAAGAAGTCCTGCCTCAAAGTCCCAGACTCTTGCTTTGGGGACTTTGCGCCGCTGTTTCCTTCTCCCCACCCTCCTTCTCGTCTAGCTAAGATCAAACTTCAGGGACTCTGTACAAACCGTCCCCTTCTCCAAGAAGCCATCTCTGATGTCCCCAGGCTGGGCTAAGACCCCACCTACGGACTCCCCAGGCTTTCTGGGCTGGGTTACAATTCTCCTGGCCCGCGGGGTTCTCAACCTTAGAATTTCCAATGCAGATTCCCCGGAGCCCCTAGACAGCCAGATTCTGCCAGGGCAGCTAGGGACAGAACCCCGTATTTTTCCGCAAGCACCTCTCCCCCCACCACCACATACGCACTGCCTGCGACCTACACGGGCGCACAGCAGGTGGCCCAGAGAGTGGTTGAGTGTCTCTGGCAAGCCAGGCGCGCTATTAAGCAATCTGCTCCAAAACAGGCTGCAGGCACTACGACCCTCCCCATTTTACAGAGGTGTAAACTGAGGTTCAGAGAGGTGACCGTGGCTGGGTCAGAGACTCAGAGCAAGAAAAGGGCCTACTAAGCGCCCGATTCCTGGAGGAGGGGACAGGGCGAGGAAGAGGGCGATGAACTCGGGGAGCGCGCGCTAGGTGGGGTGGGGGGGTGCGCGGGGACTCGCTGCGGCCTTCCGATGCGGCCCCGCCCCCACGAGGGACGTGAAGACGCGGACCCCGCGCAGCGTGGGGACATGTGACCGACTGCAGAGGCCGCGCCACCTCCCCCGCCCGAGGTCTGCGCGCTCCGCCGCAGGGTGCAGACCCCGGGCGCCCGTCCGGGTTCGGGGCGCAAGAGCAGAGGCGGAGCCGGGGCGGAGCCAGTGCGCCGGGTCCCCCCTGAAACGAAAGCGAAAGAGGGGCCGGGGAGGAAGGGCGGAGCCAGCCCGAGGCGCCGCCCCCTGCCCTGCGCGGCGGCTGGACCGACGGGCGCGCCCAGGTAGGGGGGCGGCTGAACCGCGCAGTGCGGACCCTCGCTGGGACCTGCGCCGCCGCCACCATGTCTCAGGAAGGTGTGGAGGTAGGAGATGCGGCCAGCCGGGCCGGGGGGGCCGCGACAGACACCGAGGAGGGGCCGGGGGCGCGGAGGGGGCTTCGCAGTTCCTCGGGGACTCCATCCTAAGCGCAGGCCTCCCGCTGGGCTGGCGCTCTCCCCGCTCGAAACAGAAAGTGACTCCCACATCCCCCCGGAGCGACATGCGGCCTCCCCCGAGGAAAAGCGGGGGCTGCAGGGTCAGGGTTCAGAGGCCAGGGATAACCCGGCCGCTCCTCCTCTTAGGCTGGGACGCTTGCCCCAGTCCGCGCCTTCCCCCAGTGCCCTGTGGGGACTTTGGCTTTTTCCAGGAAATGCTGTAGAGGGATGGGAAGGGGGGGCGGGCAGCGGAGGCCAAAACCAAGGGTCAAGTTCGGGCCGGGAGATCGATGCCTAGAGATGGGGGAGGGGCGATCGCGCCCCTCCGTCCCCCACCCGCGCACCCCTGTCCCCGTCCCAGCTGGAGAAGAGCGTCCGGCGCCTCCGGGAGAAGTTTCATGGCAAGGTGTCCTCCAAGAAGGCGGGGGCCTTGATGAGGAAATTCGGCAGCGACCACACCGGAGTGGGGCGCTCCATCGTATACGGTGAGTCTGCGGGGGTCCCGGGGCTGGTGCGGGGAACGCGCGTGGGAACGCCGAGGGGGCGTGGTGTAGGGAGAGGCGTTGAGATCATCCCTGCAGGAGGGGGTCCCAGCCTGGGAGGAGGGAGTGTTGCGGCTCTGGGCGGCCTGGAACTCCTACAGACCCTTCACGGGCCTTTCACTTAAACACTTACTCTCCCGCCAGGGGTGAAGCAGAAAGACGGGCAAGAACTGAGTAATGGCCTGGATGCCCAGGTAACCTGTCCCCTCCTCTCCCCTCCCCAAAGGCCGGGTCACCAGGGGAGGGAGAGCAGAGGGGACCCGACCCATCCATGGTGACCCCCTCTGGAGCAGGAGGGACTGAGCATTGCCGGTCCACAGCTCACCACCCAACCTCCTTCACTTTGTTACTCCTCAATCATGCGTTCTGCCAGGGAGCCTTCAAACAGTAGGTGCTCATTACGTGCTGATTGTTTTAAATGGAGGAGAGAGCCATGAAACCAGGCGGTGAAATGAGCCAGGGTTATTGCCATCACTGGGGAGCTCCAGAAGTCAGGGAGGGCTTCCTGGAGGAGGGGGTGCCAAATCGCCAAGGATGGGGAAGCGTGAGCCCCGGGAAAGGAACAGCCGGGCAGAAAAGGGGTCTTGGGGTGGGGGGCAGGGAATGATGTGAGCAAAGGCTGAGAGGCGACAGTCCCTAGAAAGGCTGTGATGAGGAGACAGGGGAGGAGAGAGTGGCAGGGGAGCCCTTGTATTGAATGAATGAATGAATAGAAGAACGAATGAATGAAAGGCTTTTTGAAGCACAGGTGCGACATGGCCACTTTGCCTCTTAGACAGCTTTGGTAGCGTGAGACTGTCGATTTTGCCCTGGGAGGCCGCGCATAGAGTTATTAAAGAGAAGAATAAAATATGCATTATACCCTCTCCATTTATACACATAAAGAGTACGATAAAAATAATAGCAACAGGAAACACTGATTGAGCACTTCCCCTGTGGCGAGACTCCGGGAGTTGACTTATTTCATCAGCACAGTGACCCCGTGAGACAGGTCCTATTATTTCCCCATTTCACGGACAAGGAAACTGAGGCACAGAGTGACGATGTCACTTGCCAGGTTCGCACAGGAAGCAAGACGGCAGCTGGGATTTGAACCCCTGCCACCTGGAGTCAGAGCCGGGACTCTGAGATGCCCGTCAGTGGGGGACCCACGGGGAGTGAGTGGCTTGCCCATATTCCAACGGCTGGAAGTGGTAGAGCCAGGGTTCCAACTTGCATCTCTCCGAATCCAGAGCCCAAGCTCTGAGGCTAAAGCAACTCAGCCTCAAAGAGGGCGATGTGTCACGATAACAAGTGTGTGGTGTTTGCAGGCAGGAAGGAAGCATGGGGTCTAGGCCTCACTCAGGGTGATCTCAGCAAAGCCGTCCCCTGGCTCTGGCCTCAGTTTCCCCATCTGAGCAATAAGGACAACAGGTGTGCCCACCTCTCAGGGCTGCTATGAGGATAACTTGAGTCCACATACCTGGCCCTCAGTAAGTTCTAGTGTCTCTACCTAGGACCCGCCAGAGGACATGAAGCAGGACCAGGACATCCAGGTGAGTTGGTAGCTGGGGCGAGAGCAGGGTGTGGGATGGAGGAAGGGGACATCCCTAAGCACAAGAGGAAGGATGTTCATTGGGACAGGAGGAGGACCCATCTGTAGGGACAGGAGGGCTGATATGTTTATGTTGGAGGAGGGGTGACCTCGCTCTCGTCCCCACCCACCCCATCCCACAGGCGGTGGCGACCTCCCTCCTGCCCTTGACAGAAGCCAACCTACGCATGTTCCAACGTGCCCAGGACGACCTCATCCCTGCTGTGGACCGGCAGTTTGCCTGCTCTTCCTGTGACCACGTCTGGTGGCGCCGCGTGCCCCAGAGGAAGGAGGTGATAACCCACAACTCGACCTTGATCCTGTCCCGAACTCCACTCCCGATCCCCATCCTCAGGGTCTATACCTCGGACCTAAGGACATCAGCCTCTGAGAGCCCAACCCCTGACCTCCCTCCAACCTCAAAGCTCAACCTTGATCTTGCAAAGGAGCCAGGGAGCCCAGATTTGTCGTGTTTGCCAATTCCCGTGGTGTAAGTCGCTGAACGTGCGGTTGGGCAGCTCACACCAAAGCCAGCCGCTGCAGCACACCGCCAGCCCCGGACACCTCCGACAACCCCTGGTCCCCTCTCTGTGCCACACCCCAGGTATCCCGGTGCCGCAAATGCCGGAAGCGCTACGATCCGGTGCCAGCCGACAAGATGTGGGGCCTGGCCGAGTTCCACTGCCCGAAGTGTCGGCACAACTTCCGGTGAGGGCGCTGACCCCCACCCCCCACCCTC